AAAGCCCATCTTTGGCTGGAAGGAGTTGGGTGTGCGGGGCCCCACCCCATTCAGTCGGACCTCAGGGGAGCGGGTGGGGCTGCCGTTAGGGGACTGACACAGATCTGGGGACTGGGGTGGGATGAAAAACCGCCGGTTGGGCTGTGATTGGTCATGCACCGTTAGACATGACGGCAGTCAGCCAACGAGAAAGCGAGGCCACAGCAGCAGGAACACCACAGCCCAATAAAGGATCATTCCCATAAAAACAACACAGCAGGAAATAAACAAGGGGCGTGGCAGATGGGTGGAGAGGTGGAGCAGGCAGGAAGTGGTGAGAGTGCAAGAAAGGAAGAAAAACAGAATGTGCAGTTAGCACAGTGATCAGCCAATCAGGAGGAAGCAGTGGAGCATTCGTGACAGTGACGGCAGGGATGCACCGAGACCAAAACTGCGACCAGAGTGTTTGGTGACGTTTCCTACTGCCTGAACCTGCCCGTCACCGTGCTACAGAGACGGGCTCTTTTCAGCTGTCTTCCTGTCCGAACATTAGGCAGCGGCCCGAGGACGACGACCTGTCTTTGATGATGATTCAGGACATTTTTTTTAATGATTTCTTAAACTGACCAGTGACACTGATTTCGTTTTCTTTCGTGCAGCTCAGTAAGACAAGCTGATTAATCAATTAATAAAGAAAATAAACACTTAATTTTTTTCCTTGTAAATTTAACCTTTCAGTTGAAACAACATTCCTGTAACTTAGGTTTTTTATAATACTGGGGGTAAATCTAATTTGACAAAGCTGACTGTTGTGTTTGACAGGTAAATCAAAACCAACTAATCAATAATAATCAATGGACTCAGAGAAACGTGCTACACATCCTTTATAGTCTCTAGGACTTCAACTGACAGGATGATGATGATTACTGTCCGATACACCGGTGCATCCCTAACTAACAGCAAGTGAAGGAGCTGGAAAGATAACAGATTCAGTTTGACCCTCCACCCGGGGCAGCGGCCAGAGTGCATGCATGGTGCAGATGCACGATGCCGTGGGATGAATGAGCAGATCGCCGATACGCCAGATCAGAACAGTGCGAAGCTGCAGCTGGACCAACTGCAGTGGTGAAACAGTGACGCTGTAGCATCGGAAAGCATGTGTGAAGACTGATTTTCATGAAGTGGCATCCACATATTCTGTCAGTGAGAAGGAGAAGCGTCTGTTTGTGTGAGAGGTCACAAACTTAAGAACACTTCCTTACCTGGTCAAGTCATAGGCCTTGTGCAAGAACAACTCGCAGCATGACATGATTGACATGTAAGAACCTGACAAATCACCAGTTTTCTGCTACTTCGCTTGTTCTGAATTTTCTCTTAGGTACAAATATGACTGGACTTTAAATGTGTTGCAGGAATGTACTAAAAATGAATGAATGAAATATGAACTAAAAATCTGTATTTTATTCAAATGTCTTTTCCTCATTGTCACTGACTGTGTGAACTTGACTCTGCACAATAATCTCCATCTGCTGAAGAGGGAAGGTTTCTTTGTGCTCACCTTAAAGCTCAGTTTTACTCCTGATCACGGAGCAACATGCAGCTGAGACCTCCAGGCCCAGGAGGTGCAGCATCTTCTCACTGTCCCTGATTCACCTGCTGACACTGCCACAGTATATCTGTTATGCTGCCAACAGGACCTGAAGCTCCGCAGGTTGAAATGCTCATTTTTACTCTTGAGTGATGTTTTGTAAATAACACCAGAGCACAGACGGATCAGAAGCAGTATCTTTGTGTAGTAATCCGAAGGCATTGCTAATTTGCGAGCACACTCCTCCTAGTGAGCAGGCAGCTTTAATCAGAGATTTACAGGTTTGTGCAGTCATGTGAGTTTGGAGCTGGAAAATGGTACAGAAGAAAGGTTCTGAAAGATGTTTAGGAAAATGTTTTTGCACAAGGCCCAATGACTTTCTTTCATTACTTGTCAAATAATCCTGAGACACCAGGTACAGCCTAGAATCAGCCTCTGCTTCTGTTTGCATCCAGATAACAAAATGTGCCTTGAAGAATAAAACAATGACATTCATTATGAAAAACGTTTCTGCTTGCCATTGCATGAAAGCACACGTTTGGTGATCTGCAGTCTATGCCCTTGCTGAGGGTCGGATTTAAAAATGCAGGCTTCATTAGAACAGAGAGCCACAGGTTGATGTGCACAGTGAACCGTACGGCTCTGTGTGTGCAGCAGGCTCTCTCACAGAGTGATGGATCGCTTCTCCAGCTAATCTGCGGCTGCATGAGAATCTCTTCTGTATGGGCATTAATCACCGGATCTCATCCGGAGTTTGCCGTTTGGCCTCCGATGGATCCGGTCCCGCTTCATCTGAAACTCTGTGACGTACAGTGCGGCCTGACTAACAGTTGTTCATGGTGAGGCCACATCACGACCTCGATGAGAGGATGAACTCCAGCTGGCGGTTTAGCACCTGATTGTCTCAGCTCACTGAGCTCCTACGTTTTCACAGTGTTGCTGAAGACAACAAGTCTCGATAATGAAGCCTCTTGCTGTGGAAATCCATGATGTCAGAGGAACCTACTGCTGCACTACTTTGTGAGGTGTGTTTAAGCACGTGTGTCTTCAGTAGGAGCCACAGACTAACATGCTGTTTGGGTCTGATCATGGGATTTGTTTACAGTAAAAATACAGTGATACTTTTTGCATGTCCCAGACAGGTCTGTCCTCTACAACATTTCTTGCAGCTCCTCTGTCATTCAAGCTGCACTGTACATCAAACAGGCTCATGATGAAGTCCACGGTGGTGTGCATGTGTGAGCTGCTGATGAGAGGCTGTGTGTAGGTGTAACCACATAGCAGCTGAGCCTGCCGGTGAGGTGCATTGTGGGAAACCAACAAGTACAGTGTGACGTTGGACACTTACCCTGGGACTGCTGAGAGGACTGGTGGACAGACCGGAGGACGCCCCGCTGATCGACCGCGATCTACACACACAAACACGCAAAGTAAGACCAGCATCTGGAAAGTGAACAGTACGGTTCTCACACTGCACAACAAATTGCTCTACACACACACACACACAAAACAAAACGTGTAGATACAGAAAGTCCTGAACCTGTTTTGAGAGGCAGATGAACTATGTGTAGAGTGACGGACATTTGATCTCAGGCAGAGAGAAGCGTCTCAAGCAAAGATGGATCCCCAGTGAAAAGTCATTCCTACAGTGTCCGCAGCTTTTGGAAAATACTTGATTACTTTGTTGTTGAGCAGAGCATCCCCCACTCTCCGTTTCCTTTTACACTATGTCGCTGTTCCGACAATGTTGCTGGAAGCATCCTCTTACGTGAGATATACATTGTTTTAGTGCAGTATTACAGTTTTTATTTGTGATTCGTATTTAAACAATAGCTTCACATAGCTCACATCAGTCTGCAAAAGATCTGTTTGCCCTGTATACACTGTAAAAGCTTTGTGTTTTAGTCTGGACAGAGTGGGGAAACTAAGGGGAACAAAGATGTTTACAGATACAGCGGCTTCATTTGGATGCACTTAATGTGACAAGTTAATCTAGAGCATGTTATCACTTCATTGTGATTCAGCTGTTTTCAATGCAGTGCTGCAGCTGCTGCTGCTCGATGACCGAATCCCCTCAAATGGAGAAAGGCTGCACCACAACCTCAGGAATGGTGTCTTGAAGACACACACCAAACTCAGACAGCTAAAGCAGTCTACACTTTGCTTGAAGAGCACATCCACAAAGAGCTGGCAATAATATTTTAGCATGTTAACTATTTAGAGGTATCTTGTTATGAAATGTTAAGTGGCCCCTGCTGGTGTTGCAGGATGAAAAGTCAGGGGACCAGCAAGTTCACTAGGATTCATCCTCTGGGTAACACGAGTGTCTGCACTGAATTTCACGACAACCTGTCCAGTAGTTTATGACATATTTTAGTCTGGGCCAAAACGTTGGAGGGTCAGAATCCGCAGAGCAACACCGCCCATGTGACTACAACAGTAACTGGCCACCAAGACCTGCTGTGTGAACCAAACCCATCACCGTTTGTGTTCACAGTTTGTGTTCACAGTTTGTGCAGGATGTTTGCTAGTGTGTGGGGTGAAAGATACCTAGCATCGTCTCTCACACACACACACCAAAAATTCATTAGCGCACTTTCTTTGTTCTTCTCTTCATGAGCTTTCCCATTTTTCATTTACATTTCATTAACTTTTCATATTTCCCTCCACCTCTTTCTGTCATTTGTCCAAATGGCGTCTCTTTCTCTAAACACACACACACCTCCATGTTTTTGTCACTTACTGTACTGGGTCCCTACATAGATTGACGTTCAGTTCTTAGTCCAAAATTAACCACAGCTGACACGTGCTCTAACTTTAAACCACAATGTTTTTGTCAAATTTGACAAACTACGTCATCAAGACCAGCCCCCAGCTGCCAAAGTCACAGCCGGTCCCCATAAAGCTAGAGTGCTCCCAGTTTTCTGTCCCCACAAGTACAGAAAAACAAAGCAATGTGCACACATACCAAAGCACATACAGGCCTGCTGACGTCTTTAAAGACTCTGACATTTAATTGCCCATGAACAATTTGGCTTTGTTGGAAGTGAAAAATGAAAACAGTAAATCATAGTTAAATATGCTTGAAGACACACACACACACACACACACACACACACACCCACACACAAAGGAGGGATCACATCACTGGAATTAAATTAGCCGTTGCAGTGACTCGTAATATGAAACAATTTGCCCCATTTTCAGCTCAAACCTCTGACGACGCTGCTGCTTTTGTTGCCTGTACCATTATTTTTGCTCCTATTATTCCTCCCCTTCGGCCGACTCTCCGCTCTGCCAACAACCCAGACTGAGGCGTGTTAAGTGGAATTTGAGCATCTTTACTGTACAAACTCATGAACGAAACAACTGGCAGCTACATGAGCCTTGTAAACCGCAGTGTGATGATGCACCGAATGTCTCTGTATTTATCCTTGCTTTAAAGAGAAGAGTCTGCACTTACTGTTTTATAGATGTTTTCATGTTATTTGGGCCCCATTTGTCTTGATAGTGGTGGGATACTGATGCAGCCACATGAGCACATCATTAAAAACCAACCATAGTGTTTGTCTTACAGCTGTGATGCTTTCACTTTCCTGCAGGCCCAGTTCAGAGAAATCACTCATTAAAAACTGCCCAGTTTGCCCCCAGTTTGACCAGAGCCTCATCACTGTATCGCTGCTGATCCGAGTCTGTATTGTATTAACTAATACTGAGAGAGGCTGCCAGCGCACAACAGACTGGATTAACTGTCAGCCACTTCAGAGAGCAGCTTCTATTAACATGCAACTCATTAACTGTGACACCCATCCAGTCCACCATCAGGATGCCGGCGCCACCTCGAAATCTGAAAATTAATTCATGGTTCATCGCTGGTGATGCGTGTTAGAGGAGAGCACAACAAGCTTCGCTTTATGGAGCCCCTCAGTTAGATGATGAGGGAGATAAAGGGCTTTTCAGTGGGAGTGGAGCCTTATTTCCATCTCCTCTTTATGCTCCATCTGCATTCCCGCCAATTAATTTATGCTAATCTCCATCCAGGCCGTGAATCCATTGACAGACTGTGGTTCCCCTGCACAAGGTCAGCCACGCAGGGAGGCTAGAGACAGCACCGACGGTGCAAATTAGCCCTCCCCAGGCTTCACTGAAAAAACAGACTGGCAAAGCACAAACATATAAGACACCACACACCCATCGACACACTGACAGAGAGGAGTGAGGATGGATGGACGGAAGGAGGGGGAGCGAGAGGAAGAGGCAGAAAAGCTGACCTAGAACTTCTCCTCGCCCCCAAGGGCTAAAGTCAAAGAGGAAGTGGCTGCAAAGAGGGAGCTCTTCTTCTGAGTTCACATCTAATGCTGTAAACATGTTTACATGGTCGGGTAGGAGAGATCAAGCTCAGATGTTCTGACAGAGATCAGATACTGTACGTCTACATCAGATAGGAAGCATAAGGAACGAGGTCGTTTTGGATCAGTTTGAGGCCACAGTTACAGGATAACTTTTATCTGCACACACAGATCTAGGAGTCGTCATGATCATCTCAGTGAGACCTTCCCTCTCTCTCTGTGGATCAGTGGTTCCCAGCCTGGAGGTCACAATAAACACGTTTCTGTCACACAAATGATGGTTTCTGACTCTGTTAGACTGACTTGGGAATTGGAAACAGCACACAGATCAGATGACACGGTCCAGCCTGGTTCTCACATCTCTCCCTCCACTGACTACAGTCGGTTCAGAGCCGCTCCCAACTTCGTGTGTTTGTATCACCACCAAACATGACTTGCAGACTTTACATGTATAAAACAGTTTTTAAAAAGCAAAGGTGCAGCTAACCACAGAGAAAAGAAGCAGTTGTCCAACAGAGAGGAGGACACATGTTAGCGTGTCCAACCCAGTTTTATGGTCACTTAGAGACTGTTGTAGCTGTGGACCATCATCTGAAAAGCTGCTTCTGATGCAGTTTCTCTTTACAAACTGCAGCAATAAAATCATCATAAAATCTGTAAATCAATTGGATAAATTACAATTACATCATTAAAAATGATGTAATTGTAATTTATGAGCAGGTATTTCATGTACTCTTCTACAAATCACACTCAGTTTAAGCTCTGTTCACTATGTGATTCTGGTAAGAGTGTGTTCATCTTTCTAATGTTCCACATTGTTGGTGATTTAATAAAACGCAGAGCAAAGCCTGATACAAAACCAAGGTCTGAGCCGAGCTGTGGATCTGGCCGACCGTTACATCCTACTGTTTCAAGTTATTCTTAAAACATGATGATTTGTAGCTTCTGGAGATACCCGAGATGTTTGCAGTGTAATGACTGACACGTGTTTTAACACAGTAATTTGATCTGTGAAGTTTTTGAAAGTAAAACCTTGTTACCTTTAATTTCTTATATATTGTTTCATTTTTGGTAGAAAAGTTGAAAACAGATTTCTACTCTATGTTAACAGGTTCCAACAGAAGCAAAATAAAAACAAACAGCATGCTACATTTAACAGTTGAACTCATGAAAAACGTAACCTAAACTAATGGTTGGACAAAACAAAGGAAGGATATGGAGAGGACTCTACATACAGGCTGAGGACATGAGATGGACGGAGCACAGCAGTACCTTTCCTCCTTGCTGCAGTTAGTGTTTGTGATATCCAAGCTTTTACTGAAAACAGATTTGCTAAAAAGGGGCAGACAGAAAATCAAGAGACAGACAGAGAGCCGTCACATAGGGGGAATCCTACTGTACAGCATGCAGCACTCAAACAACACTACAGGAAATTTAGCACTGAAAAACAACAGCCACCACCATGAACCAAAAAGCAACACAAACACCTGATCCATGCACAGATTTAGTAAGGAGCAGCACATTCATGGCTCATGTTCAAGTAACGGGGACATTCGTCACACTCCGTTGCTGTGTTCACCTCTGAAACATGTTTACACAGTTTAATACTCAGCTTTATTATCTCTGCTGTGTAACCTAGTGGCAAGGAGCACCGCTCAGAAAGGTATAAAGGTTTTTTAGGTATAAAATGACCCCTGGCGTTTGAAGTGTCAAAGAAACATGCTGCAAATCCAAAAACACAAACAAAAATCAAAGCAGCATGTTTCCATAATGTTTGCATGCACTTGGTCCTTAGGGGCCACCATAGTGAGCCCCCCATCCAAAGACAAACTGCTCAGTGAACACTAATTTAAAGTAAACAACATAAATGTCCAGTAAACAATCAAGCTAATTAGCTCACTGGCATATAGTTAGCTTGCTAGCTCAGATAGCACTTTGTCTTCTTCAGTAGCTTATCAATGGTGAGAACAAAAAGTTTGGAAGTCCAGTAAAGAAAAGTGACTGTAACTGAACAGTGCTAGCATGTTCCAGGCTGGCTAGCATGTTTGCATTTGTTCAACAACCAACTTTAGTCCAGCAACCAAACCTCTACATTTCTGTCTCGGTGAGGACACAGGAATTCACTTTGTCATCACATTTTCTGATGCGACTGCACCTTTTATTTACTTTGTGTTATGACCATCCATTTTAATTGTTTCAACTTGTTTTCCTTTACTCTGGTATGATGGGTGGCTCTAAATACTACAGTAGCCATGAGCCTCCGCTGTCGTTGCTGTGGAAAAGAAGCCAGTCAGTGGTTGAACAAATTCAGAAGGTTTTGTTGTTGCAAATTTTGAAACTGAACTGTTTTAATCTACTGTGCTTTGTCCAGCTTCAACCTAAGCAGAAGTGTAGTTAGCCAGATAATTAAAACAAGGCACACATGTGGGCCTGCAAGGTGTTTAGGTGATGCTTGACTCCCCCATAAACATCACAGTGGGTGTTTGTGCCATCCTGAGTTAAAACCTGCAGACATCTGAGCTGCTTTAGGTTAAAATACAACACTTCCAACAGTGATACAGTACAATTAAACACCTGAGACAAAGGTCTCATCTAACGTCTGGGTTTTAGTCAGGACCCTCTGTCTGGATCAGCTGTTTCTGAACACAACGTGCATTCAGTTTGTGCTCTGCCTGTTTTCTCATTAACTGGTAGAAATGACCAGCTGTGATGGGTCTGAGCCTCGGGTCCAGGTTAAATGAGGACTCTGATGCAGATTTCAGTGGCACTTACTCTGCTTATGAGGAAAATGAATCTCCAGAGAAACGACAATCTGGAGGGTAAATGAAGGCTGTCGGTGCAGATTTACAGCAGTGACAGACTGGTGTACAAACTGTCCTATGGTTTATTAGTGTAGTCTCAATAGATCAGTTTGGTTTGATTTAGGAATAACTGAAAAACTCAATGTAAAAAAATCCTCCACTGGAACAACTCTCCTTTCATCAGTAAACCCCAGATATACAATCTGAACTTCATCTGTCATAGTTTGGCAGAATGTGGGATCAAAGCTTGTGAAAG